ATTAATCGGACAACTAAAAATATATAGAAAAAATTAGCCGGGCATGGTGGCACGTGCCTGTAGTCCCAGCTACCTGGGAGGCTGAGGCAGGAGGATTGCTTGAGCCCAGGAGTTTGAGGTTGTTGTGAGCTAGGCTAACGCCACGGCACTCTAGCCCAGGCAAGAGAGTGAGACTCTGTCTCAAAAAAAAAAAAATCTAGGACTCCTGATAGTGCACACCCCACTTTGGGGTGATCACTGTTCGCTGATGAATGAATGGACACTGACAAGTGTGGGTATCCCTCTCACCCACTAACTGGACTGCGAGCCCCTGGGGACAGGGCATCAGACTTGCTCATCCATCCCTATATCCCTATCGCATCTTCCTTATCACTTGTTTCTTGAACAAATAACATGAAGGTAAAGAAAGCCTGAAAGAAGAAGAAAGGAGATCAAACAGAAAGTAGGAGAAAAGAAAGAACCAAAGGCCATTCTTGAAGAGATTGCCCAGCACACTTATAGAGGAGGCAGGCGGATGCATCTAAATCCACTCGAACACCCAACGGTTTATTCAGAGGGAACATGTAGAAACCCCAGGACATCCCACATCCTTGACACAGCCCTCATGCTAAAGGGAAGGACTGCGCTGACTTCACTGGACCAAGGCCGGAGGGATATTTAAGTGCCCCTGCCTGGCCAGGGCTTGCACGACTCCATGCCCATCGCTGGTTGCCCACTGTCATGGAATGCTATCTCTGCAGACATGAGGATGTTATGCCATTCTGCATTTTGGCTGAAGTTTAATTACCTAACTTCCATTCCCTCCCCATGAACAGCATACTCCTTTCTACCTTCAGGAAGTGCCTTTCTAAATGGTGGTACTGCTATAGTCACTAATTACAAACCTCTCATTTTAAAATATGGAAATACCTTTTTTAGACTCTTGGCCATTTCATAAGGCCACAGGCAACCCAGCCACACTCCTTTTTCTCTGCCTCCCCTACCCAGGTCCCATTCCCCATCCCCATAATCTGTTCGCCTGTTGGCTCAGATTCACCCCACAACCCAGAATAATCCAGTCCAGTGCAGTACCTTATAGACCTCAGCTCCTCCTCTCAGGGACGACTGTCTCCCATATGTTCCCTGAGTTGGTGCACACTCCATGAGGTGCCCTCGCTCCAACAACTAACAGGGCATGGTGCTGAGGGCCTGGCCGGGCATCCACTCTCCCTTGCTCTTGCCGGGTGACCTGACTATGCCTCTGTCCTCTCTTCAGTGACCAGCTAGTGTCTGTTGGTTCCCTTCGCTGAGGGCTGGAGTTGTGGCCCATGCCTGGTGTTGGGGACAAACCTCCCACACCACAGCAGAGTTGCTGTCGGCAGCTCACTTGGCATTGTCAATGTCACCAGCTGGAATTTTCCTTTAGACTTCATCAGAGTAGTCCTTTCCCGCCTGTGGGATTACGTTCCTAAAATGTACTTGAATTTTTATACTTGAAGACCATAAAACTTTATGGGAAAAATAGTGCTAGAGGACTGAGATTGGGCTGGAACGTGTGAAAACCCACAGAGATGTTTTTACATTCACCAAAATAAAACAAGGAAGTCAATACTCTAAATAAAGATGGTGGCAATGCCATTTCACATGTCTTAAGAACCGGTAAACTGCAACAATTCACACTCTGGTATTAATTTCCACTTGAGGATGAAGACTGGATGGAAGCTCTCCAGGTGCTCCCTCTCCCAGGTTTCATTTTGATTTGATGCTGGTGACACATGTCCTAATGTCTGTGTGTGTGTGTGTGTGTGTGTGTGTGTGTGTGTGTGTGTGTCAGTCTCTCTGATCCTCCATCTGATGTTCAATGACTTTTGAATTTTATTTCAAAGTAGCAGGCTCCTGGGCTGGGCGCGGTGGCTCACGCCTGTAATCCTAGCACTCTGGGAGGCCAAGGCGGGCGGATTGTTTGAGCTCAGGAGTTC